GGTACCGGGGCAAACTCAGGACCTTGCGCTTGAAAGGCAGGCAGCAGCGCCACTGAGCTAAGACCCCCCACGCGGCCTTCTGGCTTCTATCTTGATACTCCTAACACGGTTTCCACTTATAATGTGATAAACTCTGAACTCTTGTTTTTGAAAGAAACCAAGCAACTTCTTCTAAACCATGAATTGAGATGCTGAGCCCCTGCACTAGCTCGAGGTCATCGACACAAAGCTGCTTCTTGGTTCTTGTGCCTCAACTCCCCCTGTGCCTCAGGCACCAAGCGATCTTCTTCTGGCTCAAGAGGCAGACAATGCCTTGGACTCTGAAGCAAGCAAAAGGCCCCTGCACGCCGCTTCACTTCGGAGAGGCTCCAGGCAATGGCCTCCGACTCAGGGTGCCCTCGCAAAGTGCCTCTCCTGCTGTCCCAACCTGGGCTCCGACACCCAGCATCACGGCCTAAAAGCGGTGGGTGGTCTCTGCAGCCCACCCACAGGGCCCAGCTGCAGGGGCATCAAATGACCCCATTCTGTCACAAACGCACTGACCAACATCTCAAGGGTTCTTACCAGACCTTCTGGAGCACTAACTCCAAGGGGCAACTAAGTAAAACGGTCCACCTCCCTGTACTCAGACCCTGGCAAACGGACCTGTGCTCGGTGAGGACGCTCACGGCGGACGGGTGGTTGGCACAGTATGTGAGGTACAGGGTCCTCATCTGCGGCATCAGGTTCAGGAAGCAGCCTCCGACTCGCTGCTGGGCCTCGGGTGACCTAGAGACGGGCACAGGGGATGGCTGTCAGTCACACAGAGGCACTGCTGAGGGACAGACATGCGGCCTCTCCCTGGACACCTGAGAGAGAGCCAGGGACAGGCCTCTAGCCCCACCAGTCCCCGCCACCACCCACCCAGCAGGAGGGACTGCAGTCCAGAGGCCAGGGTGGCAGGCGGCAGGGACCAACCGATGCCACATGACCCTCTACCCGAGGAGCATCACAAATCCCTAAATCAGGAGCGTTGTCACACACAGGCATCCAGTCACTAAGCTGTCCACCAAAGCAGCATCAAGGCCATCACAAACACAGTAAAAAGTCATCCTTCACTAGAGAACAGACTGGAGATGGAGGCATCTACGAGGCACCGCTCCCCCGGGACAGGCAAGGGGACCACGGGCCACATTTAGGAGGCAAAAGCTCAGAAGCATGGAACAAATGGGGCACAGACAAGAACCCTCACTCGAGAGCCTGGCAATGACCCCCTTCGCTCTCTGCTTCCCTCCGCCTTGCCACGAGTGCTGCTCGCCTCTGCCACCCACTGTGCCACAGTTTATTTTTGGATCCAGCTGCCCAAGGACTGAAACAGGAGCCAAAATAAACCTCTCCTCCTTTGAGTCATGGCTGCCGGGTATCCCGTCCCAGCAGTGAGAGAAGTAACTCATCTAGTGTCCCAAGGGTTGCATGGGTGTAGAAACAGACCCAGCAGGACATCAGAATGCTAAAAACGGCCTTCAGAGCTGACGGTGAAACACAAGTGCATATGAAGACCACAGTGGGAGCTGGAGCTGGACACCAGCACCCAGACACCAGTGCGGAGATGCAACAGTGTGTGAACCCACCCCACCAGAGTCCAGCCCCAGCCTGGGCATGGGGGAAGCCTCCTCCTCCAACTGAGGTTACCCTAGCCTCTGGAGGGGCTCCAGAGCTGGGGGATGAACGGCCCTTCACAGCCTCCAGCCTCTGCACGGGAGGATCAAGCCAGAAATGCAGCTGGAGGGCTTGCGCTGTGACCCTAAACCCCAGCCCTGGCTCCAGGCTCAGGATGGGCGGGGTCCACACCTTGCCAGCTCCGCAGGCCTGCTGTCCCACTGGGACACCATACCTGATGCAACTCGAAAATCGTGCCAAGTCCTCTCCTGCATCCTGCCAGCAGTGGCACCCATAACTCTCCATCAGCTCGACTCACGATGACTTTCTACTGTTACCAAAATACAACCTAGAAATCCTAAATACAGTGGTTTCAACTGTTTTATAAAGAGTAGTTCAGCTGGGCATGGTGGTGCACGCCTGTAATCCCAGCACTCAGGAGGCTGAGGCAGGAGGATCACTGTGAGTTCCAGACCAGACTGGGCTACATAGTGAGTTCCAGGTCAGTCTCAACTACATAGTGAGACCCTGTCTCAAAAACCCAAAAAAGTAGTTCAAACAAACATCCTGAGAAACTAAGTCTCTGGAGGAGATGCTTCAGATCTTCAGGCCATTTTCACCACTAGTTAAAAATAATAGCACAAGACCCAGGTCAGCCAATGGCCAGGGACACGAGGAGCCAGACACCACTGTGACCTCTCTGCCCTAAGCCAGCACCAGGGGCCACTGAGGCTGCACCTGCCACGCTCGCCGCAGACCAGGGCCTCTGGAAACTGCTTCCAGGTAGCAGAGAACAGCCAGGCACAGCCCGCAAAGCTTAGCAAGAAGGCAGCTGTTTCTGGTATGGGACAGACAACAAAAGAAAGGAAGGCGTCACAATCACTCGGCCTGAAGCGAGAAGGGGCAGGGAGACAGAGGGCCAGAGACGGAGGAGGCACATTGGCCTGCCCAGAGCACACGACAGGTGCTGGTGAAGGCCGGGTCACACACACACATGCCACAAACGGAGTGAAGAGGCGCAGGTGCAGTGCCTCTGGTGCCCATCAGAAACTCAGCACACCTGGAGGCCCCCCAGCACCAGGCTGTACCCACAATGCACTGCTCAGAGTTTGAGCTCATGCTCTTTCTCAAGTGTCAGGAGAACACGAGTCCTCACTAATACATCTTCAGGTGTGAGACTTGGCACAGTAATAAGGACTTCCAAAGGACAACCACCTTTGAGGTCCTATTTTCAACTGAATTTAAACTGCTGTTCACAATAAAGTACAAGAAAACTTCCAATTATAAACGGGTTTTATTTGAGAGATTTGTTTTGAAGACACCGTTACATACCCAGAATTCATTTTCCTACAGAGGCAATTCTACAAGACACTGTTCCATGTTCTCAGATCAGCACAACTGGTACAGAAAGGATCAGGTTCTTTAAAGAACAAGAAAAACTTTCAACCTGCTAGGAGCCCCAGTGATCCATGCATAAGGGTTTCTCCACCAAGGGAAGTTCATTTCCAACAGAGCCCCAGCCCCCACACACTGCCCACCAGCCCAGCTCCAGCCCCCACCCTGGCACAGGCCCTCCATGGCCAGGTGGCTCTCCCTGGTAAAATGCCCTCAACACCCACAGGCGGGGCTCCCTGAATCAATCAGCTCTTCCTGCTGCAGAGGGAGGCCACTGATCATGCGACACCAGGCAAACCACGCACCACTCATCAGGTGGGGTTGGTCAAGGACGCACATGTTAACATGGGTGAGAGCACTGGCCTGACACATGCCAGAGTCAGGGTCTGAACCTCGCCACCCCCCCAAAAAAAAAAACAACAAAAAACATCTAGGCCAGCTTGGTGACACACGCCTGCAACCCCAGTACTATGTTGGCTTGAGGCAAGAGAATCAGGAGTTCAAGCCCACCCTGGCACCTTAGCTCCTGTCTCAAAATAAAATGTAGTGACAGTAACAATAAAATACAAAGGCCCCAGGTTCAACTGACAGTACCAGAAATAGGTAAATAAGTAAACCAAAACAATTCACACTAAGCTTACCTTATGCAGTTACGTACAGGCCTTACAAAACTGAAATAAATTCTACAAGCCCACAGCGTGTTGGATGTATGTGGTTGAGGTCCTACTTCAACTTTCCATTTCACCAGCTTCTCACAGGCCAGGGGCAACTCACAAGCAGAAGACAATGCTGGAGAAGTCAACTTTGAGGCCCCTCAGGGGCACATGGGGCACAGGGTGGCAGGACACCTGCTACCTCACAGTCCAGCCACCAGGCGCCTCCTCCCTTCCCCCAAACACCTTAACACCTTAAGCAACACAGCGAAAGTCTCCCCTTTCTTTGAAGATTATGGTACAGAAAACCAGTCTAAAATATTAGCTCTTGCTCTAAAAGGTGACTTACACAAAAAAGTAAAATAACCTAATATATATCCTTACAAATATGAATTCTAGAATTGTTAAACTTGATCCTTTCAATACCAATTACACCAACCTGCACCTTGTAATTGCTTAGCTGCTTACTTACTTGGCACATTCTTCTAAAGACTGCACAAGCATTTGCTGGAACGAGCAGATATCCTCTAGGTTTCCCATTAAATATGAAGTGCTTGCTGAACTCAACCTAGAGCCAGAGAAGCAACAGTAAAGATGTGTAAGCGGTCTGACTCGTGTTCTCCTCTCCCACCCCACAGTGCTCCCACTGTCCCGTCGTAAGCTAACACACACGCTGCCATGTCTCAGGCAAACTCAGATGCCAGATTCCATTATTTCAACCTTGATGTGCTAAAAACACAAGAGAGCTGCCCAAGTGAGGACTGTTTCATGCTTAATGCAATTTCTCATCCAACTTACTTCTCACTGGTCTGCAATGGTCGTAGGTAGGTTGAAAGCACAGTCTGAAGCTCTTTAGAATATTCATTTTCTGTTTCTAAAATATTCTGTAGCACCTGCAACAAAGGACAGATAAGCATTACTCCACACTGCATGTGCCACTGGACCCTGAGACTCATAACATCCAGAAAAGGGGGTCCATCAGCACAGTTACACTAACTGCGGCTCCAGGAGACACCCGTGTGTGTCCCACCGCTGCTGCTCCTGACTGTAACTACTAGGCCTCTGCCACGAAGGACTGCCGAGCACACCCGACCTCACCTGGCCACCATGCACGCTTGGCACAGGTGTGCTACAGTGAGCCATAGTGAACATCCTCGGACACAAGGAACCACTGACAGCGGAACAGCGTGCAAGGCCTGGTGTACAAAGGCCACCCATGATAGGTCCAAGAGCAGGCAAGGCTCCTCCTCAGCGACAGAAGCCAGGAAAAGGCAGAGGGCAGGGGCGTGAGGCACACTCGTGAGTGACAGGGTCTAGATTTTGATGGGATGCTGGTTACACAGATAAATAACTGCCAGAGCGCACTGAGCTGCACCTTCAAATCTATGCATACTAATATACAGCTAAGTATTCCTAACTAAAAATTCAAAATGCTCCAAAACCCATCCAAAATGTTTTTAGCATTGACATGAAGGTCAAAGTTGGGAAAGTTTCAGATTTGGGACCATTTCAGATTTTCAGATTAGCAGCACACAAGTGGTAAAGCTGGAAAATATTCTAGAATCTACAATCTGAAACTGTTTCGTCCCTGAGCATTTCGGACAGGGGATACTTAGCCTGTGTGTAAAATACATCTCAAATGGAAATCAGGAGTCTACTCTTTAGACTGGACCTGAAAAACTGAAATCAACTTCTGGAACTTCCGTTAGAGTGCGACTGTCTTAGGTCGCTCCACACACACCTATCAAACTCAAAGGTCTGTCAGAGTAAGTGACCTTCACATAGTCACCACTGTTTAAAGGAAGCAGCCTAACTACAACTGCTGACCTTAAAATTAAACATTTCCCGACAAGCTGCATCAGCATAGCAAACTGAGCTGCACTTAGCTAACGTCCCAAAGCTGATGACCCCAAGATGCGGACAGCTGAGCTGAAGTAAACGCTTCCCATTAGCCATGGCCAATGGTGAGGATGGAAGCCCTGGATTCGGGCAGGGCCCAGGCCCCAAGCGGTGGCCACCCCAACTCCGGTGGACACTCGTTGCCCTCCTGGCCCCAAGCACACATCACAGGCACTGGCTTTCAGAGGCTAACCCTGTCACCAGTCGTCAGCGGTGAGCAGCAAGGCCAGAAAGAGGCCTGGGGACCTGCCCCAGCCCCCGATGTGGGAAAGGGACATCGCTGCCCCGGGCCCTTCCACCCCACCCTCCTCTGACCAGAAGGTCCCAGTGCAGGTCTCTCCTGAGCACCTCCCACGTGCACTGAGATGCGCCATTTTCTCTCGAAACCTAGGCGCTACACCAAACTACAAGGGATAGCACAGAGGGGTCCCCAGGCCCACCATGCTCGGGCCCCCCACCCATGGTCTCAGATAAGCTAAACATGGGATGAACACTAAGGACAAGGTCTCCGTCAAGCTAAACAAAACTCCAGCCTTCACAGCAGAGGAGTGCGGCCTCGCTCCCTCCCCAGGCCCACGCTGACAAGCTCTGAGGAAGAGCGTGGTCACTGCAGAGGAAAGGCAAGCAGATAAACAGCACTGCACCATGTCACCCAGGTGGGAACCAGAAGCTGCAGGGCACAGTATGCAGACAAGGACTCTCCTGTCAGGCCCCTGTGCCACAGGGCAAATGTGTCCAACTCACCAGGCTAACTTCAGCCGCCAACCTTACGCTCTCTTCTAACCGGTGCTGAAGATAACTTAGGACACTCTCAGCAAGCGAGGTACACCCAGCCTTTATGCACACGCATACACCACAGGACCTGGCCCCTGGGCTGCACACCTTCCTAACTGGCAGTGACCATCGGGCAGCACCATCACCTCCTGCCTTTCCCGGCTCCCTTGCCTTCGGCATGCCCTCACCTCTGCAAGACCCGTGCAACCTCGGCCTGGCACCTCAGTCCTCTCACCCCAGGGCTGAGAACAGAAAAACGGTGCTGTTCTCCAGGAAAGAGCACCCTCTGCCTGCAGAGCTTAGGAAGGTCAGGGAGGGTGGCCCCCAACGATGGTACCACACAGCCTCAGAAATGTCGTCCTCAGTGGGCCATGGAGGACCCCCAGGCTCAGCAGTGTCACCAAGACAGAAAATGACGCCCCCCGCCTGTGTGTCTTGTCACTTACAGCAACAGTGAAACCACATTCTGACACATTACCCCACAACCTCCCAGACGCGTGATGCCCCAAGATGATATGCTTGCTCCGTGGCTGCCAACACACTTTCTGCGTTTGTAGACAAGCCTGTGCCACCCACTGGCCCAGACACCCTGTCCCAGAAGATACTCCACTTCTGTATGTGTAAAATTCCACTCAGCTGCTCTCAGCTCACCCCAACCCAAGCTGTCCTTCAGAATCTCGGGGATCAGAATTTGGAGTGGCCAACTCCTCGGAGCCCTCCGGCGTAGCCTCCGGTAACCCTAAAATCACTGTACCATCACGTTCCCTGTCGCCAATCATCCTTCACAAATGCACACGTGACCCACCTTAGAAAGGTCATCACCATCGCAGAGCGAAACATAACCCTCGTCCACAGGCACAGGGCACCAGGGGAGCATAGCCACTCCAGACCCCGTCCACACCTGCCAGACTGTGGCCACCACCTCAGATGCGGCACTGAACACCCTCCTTCAAGTCTCTGCTGTTTCTGAAGAGCTGAATGCCAAGGAAGGCTTCAGCCTCTGACAAGTTGCTCTGAGATGAGGGAAGGCTGCAGAGGAAGCAGCCCCTAAGCCCTTGCAGGGACGGCCAGGAAACACTGCGCTAATGCTGCCTGGTGGCTGTGCTTATCCCTACTGCCAGCCGCCACCAACTCACTTACATGAGCCCTCAGCCAGCTAGGGCCGGGCCACAGGAATGTCTGTTTCATCCGTGTACCTTGTAGAAGAAACTGCCACCCCAACATTTCTAAACTAGGGAATTAACAGCATCTGGGGCTATGTTCCTTTCAAAGGTTAAAGGTTCCCCAGACAACAGGAATGGGCACTACATGCCACAGGCACATTCTCAAGGTGGGTGCAGAGCCAGGCAGACCCGGGCCCAAAGCCTGCTCCAGACCAGTACCATGCAGAGCCCGCCCTGAAGTCTTCTTTGTTTAAAAGGGGGTTCACTGACGTAGGCTGAGGGTCCACCCCGACTGAAGGACAGGAAGCACTCCCCCACCTACACCTGCCGAATGAGCCAGGAGAGCCTGCGTTGGAGGAGCTTCCTTGGGCTGGCGGGCAGATGGGCGGGCAGGCAGGCGAGCAGAGGTCTTTCCTCCACTGGAGCCTGCCTCGGGGAGCAGTAGGTCACCTCAGGGCACAAAGTCAAGGAGTGGCTGACTGCAAGGAGCTGCAGCACTCACTCCCACAGGAAATGCAGGAAGTGGGGAGCAGCTCCTGAGGAGCCCAGGGGCCTCCAGAATACCCCAAGGCCTGGAGGCCCAAGTCAAGCCACCTGAGTAGGGGGCCCTAGGAACCCCTCAGGGCTCACAGGACTTAAGGAAGTCGGGCTAAGAGGAGAAGAGCAAAGTGAAAAGTCAAAGCAAGAGGCAGAACTCGGCCCGGAATGGCGATGATGGCTGCAGAACAGAGTTTCCCGCCTTGGCCTGGCACCCAGGGGCTACAGGACCACAGAAGGAGCAGGCAAGAGCAGGCAGGAGCAGCATCTGCTGTGTCCATTTACAGCCTGAAACTAGGGCCGGCTGCTATCGCACCCACAGGGCTTCCAAGGTGAGGTCAGGCACAGGTGGACAGAACACTGCTTCCTGCATGGACACAAGTGCAGGAGAAGCAGGAGCGTGCAGCACTGGGCGCAGACAGCCCAGAGCAGCGTCGTCTGGGTCAGCAGGCTGAAGAAAGCGTGACCTCTAGTGGTGACTGAGGACACTCGAGGGAGAGGCACCCGCTCCTCCTGACGCCATGGAAACCATGATGGCCGAAGCCCCTGCTAGGAACCTGAAGCCAATCCTATCCCAAGACCTCATCACACACGAGGCCAGGGCTGCCTCAGGCCACCGCACAACTCAGCAGCAGTGACACGAGACCAAGACTACAAGGGCCACGGGCACAGCAGCAGGATGGCCCGGAGCTGCAGGACACGCAGTACTCCGAGGGGACACGTCCTGGACACAGGCAGTGCCAAGGACCCAGCAGGGCAGACTCGTCACGGGCAGGTGAAAGAAAAGGGGAGATGGAGAAAGACCCCAAGAGGAGCTTCCTAAGGAGAATTAGGACCTGATGCAAGCAAAGAAGTCTAAGGCTGAGGAGAGAGAGAGGGAGAGGCCTGAGGACGGCGGCAGAGGGAAGAAGCAGCACTTGCATCCATCCCCTGGAGCCCAGGCAGGACTGGGAGGCTCTCACCCGGCACACTGTGTGGCAGCACAGATGCCGGATGAGGTTGTGTCACCATCCTGCTGTATCCTAGGGTCTGGGAGCACTGAGGGGCCCTGCTCAGGACGGTCCAACACAGGGACCCATCCAGTCAGATCCTTCACCCTGCTCTTACGAGGCTTCAGAGGCTGAGCCCAGGATCTCTGCACTGAGCTACGAACCGAAGCCTCTTTATTTCAAGACAGGGTCTCATTAAGTCGCCTAGGCTGGGCTTGAACTGATCCTCCTGCCTCAGCCTCCCAAAGAGCCGGGGTGGTAAGTGCACACCACCATGCCTGGCTTAATACAGGGACAGAGAACAAAGCATCCAGGATAAAAGGCTGCTGCAAAGAAATACTGAGCAGCTACTGCTTTATATCAAAAAAGCAAAGACTTCCTGTGTTCCTGTTTACATCTCCTGACCATCAGTAAAAGCTGGCAGTACAGGAAGAAAAAAGTAAACACACATTTTCCACAGAATCTCAAGACAGAGTATATGTCTGGAAAGCTGACTTTGCCGTTGTCACAAGAGTAATTAAAAACTATCTAAACAAAGAATGTTACATTCTATTCCCGTAGCACATGCAACCGGTTGGGGACAAGGGCTGAGAACCCCCAGGTTCCCACCCGACACTCTCTGAAGCTCACACAATGATCTAAGTTTCAAAGCGCAGCAAACATCAGGATGCAGATGCACGGGCTTCACTGGACATGAAGTCTCGGCACACTCCCGACTCCGGGCCATCTGATACGTACACAGCACTCCTGGGAAGACCCCACAGGAAAAGCAAAACAGACTGGAAAAGCTACTGCTCTGAAAGACCCACACAGCAGCACAGGTGCACGTAAAAGGTCACAGCACATTCCACACCTCTAAACTCATCTGTGACCCTGGTAATGCTGTCGGGGAGCAACCGCCACATCTGCCAGGCATAGCAGCACTTGCCTGTAATCCCAGAAATCGGGAGGCTGAGAGTTTGAGGCCAGCCTGGGCAGCACAGTGAGTTCAAGGCCAGGCTGAGCTACTGAGCGAAGCCCTGTCTCGCAAAATTTTTTAAAAGAATCATAGCATCCGCTATGAAACTAGAGAAGGGCACCATTCCATACACGCAATGTTCAGCTAAGATTGGCAGGAAAGGACCCGGAGGCTGGGGGACTGAGGCCCTGGGGCTCTGCGGTGGGCTGGGTGACTCACTTCCTCCTCCCAATCCTGGGAGCTGCCTCTGCATTTCCTCCTCACCATAGAGCTTTCAAAGACCATAAGGACGTCTGCAGTACTCACCACGTTGTAATAGCTCTTGTTGATGGCGGTCGTGTCAAACCCTTTGGGGGGGCTCTTCAGCGTCCCTGACTTGGGGGAGACCGGCTTCTCTGCAACAGAAATGAAAGGCAGTTACTGACCACATCAGAGGAACAAGGCACGCTGTCCCTTCCACACCCAGCAGTGGCCGCAGAGAGGGAGGCAGGGGCCCCTCCACGACAGCAGGCCCAGCCCCACGCTCGGTGAGGTGAGTGGCAGCCACCCAGCTGCACACAGGGCTTGATCCACTGAGAGACCGTGAATCTGTGCAATCTGCTCACACACGAATCTACTCCCATGATGCTGCAAATATAAAACAGGAGCTGAGGAGAACAGGAGAGCACGGCGGGAGGGGACGGCACTTAAAACGACCAGACCCACACCTCGGGGCTGCATCTGAGGGTTCAGAGCATTCAGGATGCAAAGGCTTCTCGGAACAAGAAGGAGCTGCTCAAAGCTTAAAGTAATCTCGTCACCCACAGGAGACAAGGAAAGGGACATCACCTCCTTGCTCAAAACCAGGGGAAATCCACACCAGCCAAAAAACTTCCAAGCCGCACGTGCGCAGAGTAACAGCAGTCAGGACGGCGGCTGCCATGGAGCAACAGCCAGCTCGACAGAGCTCAGTGTGCCATGCAGGGGAGGAGAGGGCGCTCTGCCGGCTGGCTCCCAGGGGTGGGCAGGCGGTGTCTACCGGTGGGTCCACGGTGCCCTCCACCGGCCCTGAGGGGCGGAGAAGGGGAGCACGTCCAGCCCTGGTTTGGGGATGGCCGGGCACTTCTGGGGAGTCCCTCTGCACTGGCGCTGCCCACCAGCTGGGGGGCGGGAGACAGGCTTCCCCACACCCTCCGCCGCCGGAATTCTCCCAGCACCTCCCGGGCACTGGGTCCACAGGCTGCCCCTGCCTCTCCACTCCCCTCGCATCCGTGTGCACTCCGGCAGTCAAGGCTGCTCGGCGACTCGCTGTCCACATGACAGCTTCGGAGCCTTCACAGCGCCCAACCCGCGCCTCGCGGCAGATGCCCACGTCTTCTGCAAGGCCTCACTGCCAGGATTCCAAATGGTGGAAGATGAGGAATAACTGATAACGCAGAGAGCTCTGTCCACACAACAGAGAGCAGCTCCACAGGAAGCAAATGACTTCCAAACCGTAGGTAATACAAGGGGGAAAATCATTGTCCTTCTCCGTGCAGACCTGAGAGGTGTAGAGAAGAAAACTACAAAATATCTTACATTGAAAGAAAACAGGAAATCTGCAACTCAGGAGCAAGACCCAAGCTGACCGTGATGGCCCCGTCCGTGGCACTTGGAAAAACGCACACATGGATGGGACGGTGTCAGCGTAACCAGCTCCATGGGGTGGCCAGAGTCCGCTTCATTTTAAAGGCATTTCACTTGCTAGCAGGGCAATTAAAACCCACCTCACAACTGCAGCCCTGTTAACAAGGTTCAGTCAGGGTGGAAGGGAGGGCCAGATGCTGTCACTTGTACCTGTGGCTGTGCTCACTGTGGGGCGTCCCTCTGAGATGCTGCCCATCGTCCCCACCACCGATGTGAGGCTACAGGGGCCGCTGCCAGGAAGACTTGACAGGACACAGAGACAGCAGGGCACAGGGACCCCGCGAAGCCTGGGAGAACATGAGGGCAGCTCGGGGGAAGGGAAGCTGCAGCCCCTGGAACTCAAGCTGCTCACGGCCAGGAAAAAGGTTCGAGACACCAACGCTCTCAGTGCCCTAGGGAAGCCATCTCTGCCCCATCCGACAGCTGAAAACCTAACTAAACTCCCTGCTCCCTGGGTGTGGGGAGGATTGGGTGCCTGTCCTGCTGGAGGAGGGTGGAGAGTGGCACGGTGTCCAAGGAGAAGACGGGATGCAAGGCACCTTCGTCCACTCATCCAGAACCCGCAGAGCACCGGGGTGTACAGGTGGGGACATAGCCTGCGAGGTGCCCACACTCCTCGCCTCACCACCAGGCTCTCCCTAGGAAGCCTGCTGCTCCTGCTGGATCCCACTCAACAGGGGACAGAGCATAGGCCAACAGCCCCAGGCCCGGAAGGAGCAGCCACAGAGCCAGGGGCCCAGCAAGAAGACACAAGGGGAGAGCGGACCATGGGGATGAAGGCGCTGTAGACATCAGGTGCATCTGGAAAAGAAAGGAGCAAGAGCTCCAGAAATAAATACCACAGCCCTGAAGATGAACATCTCAATGGGCAGTTCAACACCACAAGTGAGGTGGAAACCCAAGAACCCGAAATTCACACTTTGACGAATGGATTCAGCATTAATGCAGCAAAACAAAGAAACCAGAAAAATGAGAAGCAGGCTGAAAGCCACAGAGGAAAAAGTAACACATGTAACAGGACTTTTCCAGGCAAAGAGCAGGAAGCAGCCTGGAGAAGCCACTAGCAGATGAAGGAATGTTTCCCGCCAGGGCTGAAGGCACAGGCTCGCAGGTCAGAGGCTGGAGGTCAGAGTCCCTAAGAGGGTCCCGGGGTGGGAGGCTCAGGCTGTTCCACACACACCGGGCTCCTGCGCACCTGCCCTGCTCAGGAGAACACGGATTTCTGCTCCCTGTGCCCCCACCCATCCGCTGGGTAGCCACGTGTCTGCTGGTTCTGGCAATGCACACAGCTGCCCAGCAGAGAGCTATGCAGTGGGACCAGCCTCCAGAGTGGCTGTTCATCTCAAGCCAAGCCTCTCCCAACCAGGTTTTCTTTAAGGTAAGGAGTAGTGCCCCCCTCATCTGGAAATGTTTTCACAGGGCTGCCTGTTTTCTCCATGGCATGGTCACAGAAACCCACCTGCATGCAAAACAGAGCAGCAGAGCAACAGGCCCATCCAGCCGATGGTACTACAGACCCTGCCCCGCCTGGGAGGTCACGCAGAAAATCCAAGGAACGCAGTTGTTTCACCCATCTTGCTGCAGGGACTTTTTCCTGGAGTCAAGACCCTGACAGAAGGCCACTGTCACACCTCCATCTTATGTAGTGAGTGTCTTGTCTGTCACAACAGGAGCGTTTTGCATCTGACTGCTGCGTCCCTAAAGCCCTTTCAGTCCACGGAAGTGTTGCCCTTGTCTTTCCTCCAGCTGCCAGAGGACAACAAAGGGGACACCGCCTTATCTCTCTTTCTTGGAACACGAGCCACTCTGGCCACCTCCACTAACCAAGCTTTGCATTTCAGGTCAGAAACCTGGGGACTGTCCCCTGCCAAAGTCCCTGTTCCACGGCAGCACTCGCTCCAGGACACATCTGCTGAACAGAGGTCAGCGTGGCTTCAGGGCCAGGCTCAGGTGTGGACAACACTGGCAATGCAACCGTGAGGGGCTGGCCGGAGAGCAGGAGGAGGAGGACAGAGAATGCACCTCGGCGCCCTTTACACCAGGAAGCGGCTGGGGGGGGACATTCCCCCCACCACCACAGCAAATGCTGACTAAGCACAGTGGACTCACACAGCTCTGTGCAGCCCGGCAGGGAAGCAGCGTGCCTGGAGGGAGGGAGGGGAGGCGCAGGCCAGGAGGACAGATGGACAGACTAGCAGGACACATGCCACAGCCCACATCTGCATGTCCTGTGAGGCTGTGGGGGATGAGAGGGACAGTCCTGGTGCTGGGCAGGGCCCAGAGGCAGGGGACATCGGACCCATCACACGTATCACTTTAGCATAAATTAGCCAGGGATTTAGCTCAGCGGTGCTGCCACCTGCCTCACAAGAGAAAGGTCCCGAGTTCGATCTCCAGTACCAAAAAAAGAAAGAAAAGGTACTTCAGCACAAATGAGAAAAAGCTTTCTCACAAAAGATCATCTCCAACCCTGAAGACTAACAACCTGGTTCTAAACTGCTCTCCATGATCTGCCTGTGCAACCTGCGTTTGAAATGAGGCTGTCTGGCCATGGTGCCAGGGAGACAGCCAAGGTCACAGGACAGCCCCACCATGCACAGTGACACCAGTGTCCAGGCAAGTGGTGCTCTGAGCCTGTGCACGAGTCAGGTCGTGGACCTGTACGAATCCCCATCCAACTTCCAGCAAAGATTCAAACTGTGAGATTCTGAACTGCTCTGTCCAAAACTCTACATTCCCTGCACAGGCTATGGTGGCTTGTATCTTCCCAGGGTGTGCTCCTGGTAAACGGACTCACACCTGTCCTCACCATCCTGGGTGCTCTGAGAAGTTTCCAAACACTCCCCTGCTGAGACCAGACCCACAACAGGTGAGGGCAGGGCTGCAGCTCAAGCTCACCCTGTGACTCAGAAGAACACGGTTCTGTGGTACGTAGCCCCTTCCCTGAAGATTACACTACTGGGACTCCTGAAACATTACTGGAAACGTCTGCAGTGGGCTTGAGTCTCCTCCTCAGTGTACAACGCAGATTATAAGGTAAAAAAAAAAAAAAAAAAAAAA